CATAAAAAAAAGAAAACCGAAAAGAAACGTATATAAAATTGAAAACAAAAATGAAAATCCAACTCAAATTTTAAACCAGCGACTAAAGAGTAAATCATAGGAAGAAAATTGTATCTGATAACTTTTCTCGTTTCCAAAAATAGATATCTCAGATGGACCCCAGTGGCAAGAGCCCCAGGCGATTTTTAACCTCACTCACTTACCCTGGGCTGAGTAGAACGGTGAGTAAGGGAGAGAGGATAAAGGGGGAGAAAGGAGGTTGATAAAGAGGGGGGGAGAGGAAGGGGGCAAAAAAAAAGGTGAGAAAGGCCCCCCTTCCTCTCTTTCTCTCTCTCTTCCTCCTTTTCCTTCTCTTTGTATCTCCCGCCAAGCAGGTCCGCTTCATAACCGTCGATGAAGAAGAAAAAAAAAGTCGTTATTTCAAATCAAAGCGTAACAAGAATAATATGGTTATAACCGCTAATTTTAATCTTTTTCTTTTCTCTTTTTCTTTTCTTTTAATAGATATTTTTTGTGTTTCTTCTCTTTTTAGTTTATTTACGTATAGATTTAATTTATTGCTTAACGAACGCCGAGCTAAGCTGATCTTTTTAAATTATTAATCAAATGTGCATTAAGAAAAAGAAATAACATGCATATGTACGTATATACATATACACAGATATGTATACACACACGTACATGTATGATTCCAAACGCTAAAAATAGAACACATAGATTAACATGCGAATAAGCCACATATGATGGAACAATTGATAACATCTTACCAGAATTCGCTTTTATAATCCAGTATTTATTTTAAAAACTGCATCACGGCAATATGTAAAAAAATAATAACTATAACCCAGTTGGTTATATGTGAAATATATGTGAAAAAATCCCATCACATGATATACAGATGAATAAATAAATAATGGTATTAAAGATGGATATATACACAATCTCCCTTTTATGAAAGACAAAAAGTATATAGATACTTTACGTTTAATTTGATTATTTTTGTTTTCTATCTGACTAATTTTCCATAGTGTAAGCATAGGCCTACAACCCATTCACATTTTTCAGGAGGATTACTGTGGCTTCAACCCACACTTTCCCGCCGTATCTGCAGCGAGAAGGCGGCACTAGGGGTTGACTCTTTCCTTCTCTAGTCATATCCTCTCTCTCTGTTTATTTCTCTCCTTTTTATTATCTTTTTCTTCTTCAATACGTTCCTGTCTTTCTCTCTCTCTCTCTCTCTCCCTCTCTCTCTCTCTCATTCCTTCGACACTGAGTATCTTTTGATATATGTCTATCTCTTTCTATCAATCACTTGTATGACTTTATGCCATCATTACATTCGCCCCCATTAGTTGGTATTCCTGGAAATGAAATAAAAAGAAACTGCATCATGTCTTTTTTTCTTTTTCATTTTACTTTCTGTGCTTACCTTCTGAGGCATTTTTATCTACCATTGCAAGAGAATATAATACAAGGAACTAAGTCAAAAGAAATGTTTTAATAACATAGTTTTTTTTCTCTCTATGCCTTTTAATTCCTATCTCTTTCGCGTCATATAAAAAAATAAATCGTCTTTATGGGCTGCTAATTGTAAATTTAAGTTTTTTGTTAGATTTAGGGCTGGTAGGCTGTTGAAGGAGGTGTCCTGAGCGTGTTGTAAATAATGAGCCTTTGAAAACATAGAAAATGGAATTCACAGAACTTTCAGATTCAAAGAGAAAAAAATCTGCTTTCAGGACTGTGTTTCTTAGAGATTTTTTTATGGAAATTGGCAAAGAGGCTCTTAAATCCACGCTGAGAGGCCACCTACATAAAACGGTCGCTTTAGAATTCTTATTCTGGTGTCACTGTGTACTTTGCTCATGCTTTTTTTCACTGTGCAATTATGATACTGCTGAGTCTTGTTTCTTTTCAAATGTGTCT